CTTTTTACTCTATTTAGTGATTAAAGAACTTAATAAAAAATACTGGCAAGATAGCCAAAGTGGAAAAAAAAAGAAAATAGTTTAGAAAAAACAAATTGCCAATTAGTTGTAGTTAAAAATTTTTTTAATTTAAAACTATTTTGTTATAGTTTTACTAATTAGCTTAATGCAGCTTTTTAATATAAGCAATAGTTTTAACTAATGAGGCAGACTATATTTGGGTATCTATAGAGGAAACCAAGTGATATTAGATTTGTAATTTAGATAGTTTAAAATATACTTGTATATTTTCTTTAATCTAATAAAAATACTAGTGAAGCTGCTGATATATAGAAAAAAATTCTATAATAATATGATATAATTATATAAAAGATAACTATATAGAAAAACGACTATATTTAAAATTTAAAATTTTAACTATGTTTATAACTTTAATAAAAGCTTAACAAACTTTAACTTAATTTTTTATTTTATTTTTATTTTTATTTTTATTTTAGTAATTCTACCTTTATTTTATTTATCAAAAGTAGATTATAAAAATGCTTTTAGCTAGCTAGATTTATATGCAAATTGTTAAACTACTATATTTTTATACAAATAAAGATTCTCTTGATCTATTTCATTATCGCAGTAAAACTACAGCCTAAGCTAAGAATTTTATGCTAGAATATGACCCAGAAGTAACCTGCCTAAGTAACAATTTTTTTCCTTTTAGGATCCCCAACTTACTGAGGATATGAGCCCTGGACATCAACAGATAGAAGCACTGATTTTGTCAGAATCACTGCTCTACAATAGAGTATCACCAATCTAATAACACTTTCTCGTAGAGAAATAAAAATAAAAAGATAAAGGCAAAATGAAAATAGGAAAAGTAAAAAAGAAAACATATAAGAAAACGACCAAACTATAAAGGAATCTAAAAAACTATTCTAAAATCTAAAAAAACTTGTCTACAGATATAAAAACCTGCTAACCAGGTAAAAAAACTATTTACATAGTCGTAGAAATCTATACATAGAGCTATTTAACAAAAAAAAACTATAAATTAAGATGTATTTTAATCTGTATTAAGGGCTAAAAATTAAATATATATGATTTTGGAATATTGCATATCTTTGTTATATTGCTCCAGTTTACAACTCTAATGAAATCTACCTCGAATCCTAAAATGCCAATTTTAAAGCCTCGATATGTGATTGTTAGTTTTGCTTATAACAGGCCAATTTTTTCTAAAATCTTCTTATAGTCTTTACTTCGAACCTTGCTTCTTTATTATATAAAATTAAATAGGGGTCTTTCATATGATCAACTAGTATTATTGGAAGCTACTTTCTCAGGTCTGTCACATAAGGTATTTATTCCTGTACAGTCAATGTCAATTCAAATACAAGACTTTCTATGTACTTCAATTTTACCTAAACAGAACTTTTTCCTTATATATGATTGTTATATTTTTTATTCATCATATCGTAACTCGAGACTTTTCAAAAATAGAAATATAAACAATGATGAACTTTTGGAGGAGGTAGTCAAATCTCCCACTTTTTGTCGAAAATTATAAAAAAAGAAAACAGTAGAAGAAAAGTATAGTTTTGCAAGTTTTTCAACCAAGGAGTGTTCCAAGAGTTCTTTATAGCCTTCTGTTTCCAAAATAACTTGAGTCTTTTTTTTTACTTACTGTTTTCAGAGACTTCTCTGGTTTGGATGCTGAATGTGAAGAGGAGTCTGCCCAAGTGAAGAGCTTGACCCCTTTGCAAACCATCTAAAATGTCTGCTTCTTGGTGTATCATATTTAAGACTTCATCAACAACAGTTTGTATTAAGAAAACTTCAAGTTATTTGTTCACTTCTAGTCTTGAGTCTTCAACTTGCTTTTTGCTTTCGGAGACTGGTTAATACAAGTGATCATCAAAGAGAGTTGTGCGAATAGCCCACAAACTCTAACTTAATAAAAATTTTTTAATTTTAAAAAAATTATTTTTTTAAATTTGATTAATTAAATAAAAATAAAATTTTTGTATTTTTGTATAACTCATAATAAAACTAGTACTTCTTAAAATTTATTATCAAGCTTATATAAAAAATAATCTACACATTTTTACCCTTTAAAAAACAAATAATTATATATTTTTTATCTTTAAAAAAATTATACAGTATATTTCTACTTATAATCTATTTAATTTATATAATTTGTTATATATTTTTAAATTTTTATTGTATAATTTTGTATAAATACAGTAAACAGATAATATATACAGATGTAGAGTTTGTTGTAGTAAAAAAATAAAAAAATAATTTGTTAATTACGATATATTATACACTAAATTGTAACACATTATTAGTTAATAGATATAAAAGATGTCTTTCTAAAAGATGCCTAAAACATCTATTTTAAATTAATATAAAATAATTTAAGCAGTATTACGTATTATAGTAAAATTTATATAAATTTAAATTAAAATATTTATAACTGTAACTTACTAAAAATAACTTAATAAAAATAAAATTATTAATAGCTTTGTAAATTTATAATTTAGTTTTAAAATTTTATTTTTTATATTGAACATTTGTTTAAATATGATTTATTTTAAATGTAAGAAATTTCATAATAAATTTCAGTGGCGATCACTTCAACAGTCATTTCACTGACAAGCCATTTAGCATGTTACATACTGATATAGTATGCATAATTTGGGATTCTTTAATGGCAAAACCGTGCTTAGAGTATACGTATATATTTCATATGCTTTAAGCATGATTCTGCTGTGAAAGAGCCCATTTGTAAATAATATGGATCCGTAAATTTATATGCATGGATATATAAAAGCCCTCCCTATACACGGTCCCTAACCCATATAGAGATCATGATGCATATTTTGCACAGTGATCTCTATCGCTATATGTATCATTTAAAAAAAAACGGGACCATGTGTGACTTTTGATACACCCCTGTGTATTATTATACAGTTTTCGGGTATGTTTTAGTTGCTCTAACACTAACGCTAATAACGATAACGCATCTTATAATTAATTAGTCTGAAACGTTTTATGCACGAATAACAGGTTTGATGTATCGACCAATATGTTTTGAAACAATCGACCGACTTTGGTCGAAGCCGGTTTAGTCAATTTTTAAATTGCACAAATAGATTATATCGAAATTAGCCACATTTATCAATACAATGAACGAATCCAATATGTTTTGAAACAATCGACCGACTTTGGTCGAAGCCGGTTTAGCGTTAGTCAATTTTTAAATTGCACAAATAGATTATCGAAATTAACCACATTTATTAATTACAATGAACGAATCCAATATGTTTTAAAACAATCGACCGACTTTGGTCGAAGCCGGTTTAGTCAATTTTTAAATTGCACAAATAGATTATACCGATATTAGCCACATTTATTAATTACAATGAACGAATTTACCATATTAATATACGTACGTAATTACGATTAACCAAATTATATTAAACCAGATAATATTTTATCTGGATATTGAGATGTTCATCCGATCAGATCTCTACCTCCACTCATCATAATGTCGCACTAACACAAAAATGATTACTGATTCTGCAGGATTTGCATAATCCGCAGTTAATGTATTACCCCTTAATGTTAACAAAGTATTATCGATCCGATTCAATGGCTATTATTGTTTTATTGTTTATGAAAAAAAGCCTGCATAGCGTACGTACGTACGTACGTAGTGGTTTATGACTTGAGTTATAGAACAAAAGATTATATTTTTATTTATTTCTTTTGATAATAAATATAATAAACATATCACATCATCATAAAGAAAGAACAAAGTACATATAAACAATACATAAAGCTCATCGATATTATCACTTTTTTTTCGTTTTTTTGCTTTTTACAAAACTTCAAAGATAACAATGCAACTTTTTCTTTTTTTTCTATATTACACAAATAATTATCCTAAACGATCATACTACCAATTTTCTTCTTGAATCATCTTGTTTAATTCTGTTTCTTCCTTCACCACCCGCCACTGCTGCAATATACATAATAGTTGCGATGAGTAAATATAAAGCGGGATTGACATTTTGATAATTTAATATTGAAACTCCACTGATAATGAGATATAATATGATTCGTGGGATAAAAGATGTTGCTACAAAAGTATCTTTGAATGGGAAGACGGGCATTTCGATGGCCACAATTATAAAACCAAAGACACTAATAAATATAATTAAAAAAAATGCGTAAGTGTTATACAATAAATAAAGTCGAACAAACGAGATGCAAACTTATAAACCTACATGCAAAGTATTGCGATAATATTTATAGGATTAAATATTGGAGTAAAATCTCTAAAAAAATAAATCAATAGTAGTATTAAGATAAATATCTATCGGGAAAGAAATTGAAGAACTGTTTTTGCAAAATTAATTATAACTTACTTTGACAGAGGTTCGAACGTAAAAATGCGATAGAATAGACCAAATATACCACCAATAGTTTCAACTACAAGATTGACAAAAGTTGTTGTGAGAATGACTTTCTTCAACAAAAAAAAAACGGGGTGCAAAAACATTATTCTCTTGAAAATACATACACACACCGGCGGTGAGAGCAATCAATCTGGCCCATTGACTCCAAATAACTTTACCCATTTTTGATAATAACTGTATATATGATTGTTATATTTTATATGTACTATGAACAAACTATATGTTTCTATTTTTTTTTTTGTTTTTTTTTCGTTTTTTTGTTTTTTCTTTTAAACACTGCGCTGCAGTATTCTAGGAGACTCTCTTTTCGTGAATACTCGTACTTTCTGTAACCGGACAGAAAGTGGATAAATAAACTTTATGGGGGGAAGGGGGGTAAGGAAGAGAGCTAAATATATGAAACGCCTGCGAGTATTTTATATAATAGATTTGGAAAGTTACAAGAAACGAATAAGGGGATCTGTGCACTATTGTACTGCATACACAGACAACAAATTCTCGGTTTTAAAATTGAACACTGATCTTTATAACTTATTTTAGCCTTAATGGTAAACTATGTGGCTATATTTATTTCCTTTATTTCAAAACAGAGCTTAATTTATATGTTTTGAAGGATAAATCTGGTAATTATTATACACAAATTATTGAAATTATTTCGTACGAATTGTTAAGAATGATTCGTATTCGTTTCGTATTCGTATTCGTATTCGAAAGTTAGCGTCGACTTTATACACTCTTGACTTTAGAAAATACTAACCTTTCTTAGTTTAAACAACAATTACACGTGTGATTCAATTTCATTGATGATCTATGGACCATCACACACACATGGATCTTTATCGTACTTGTGTCGAAGGGTAGAAGCGATGTGCATGTATGTATGTACGTATGTGGCTATCTCTTTTTCGTGTATCACACTTATACTGTAGTTATCATAAAATTTGGGTAATGATCCGAATCGGCAAATATTAGCCGATTGGTTGCAGAGTTTGTATATTAGATTTGTATGCTTATTGGTAAAAACTTAGTTTCCTGGGGTTAGACAACAAATGGTTTACTTTACTATATACAGTATATAATTATCAAAAGCTTTAAACCGTTCTGATTTTTTCCTTACTAAGTAAATTAAATTCTGTAACCTTGAAATAAAAACTATGTTGTAAAATTCTCTATGCTTAATAAAGTCAATAAGTTAATTAAAACTTTGGTAACATAGTTTTACATTTACATTAAATTCTATATATTACTTGAAAGTTACGAAACTTGACTTGCTTGGCAAATATCCCGTTTTGGAATTTATTATTATTATTACTATATACGTACGTACCGGTACGAATAAAAAATAATCGACAAAGTCTTACATTAGTGTGCCAATCATATTGTGTTGATCGTCCTAGAATCACTAACCTAAAAAATTCGCTATCACCGTTAGCGTTTTTAAAATTTGATCAGATAGCGAAATTTATTTAGGTTCGTAACGCTAGAACAATTTAAAGTGTTGCATGATAGTAAATCATTTAAATTGGTATCAATGTCAAGATCATGGGGTACTTTTAACAAATTACTAACACTAATAGCACTAACAATCGTTTTGTTAATATATATGTTGTGCGCGAATTAAAATCTGCGTCAGATTAAAATCGCTAATGCCTAACATAGGCACCCGCCATAACCCTAAAAAACTCCGCATTTAAATTTAATCTGACGCCAACATATAGGGGTGGGTCAGTAGAAAAAGGTGCAAAATTTTTTTTAAATGGTTTTTTATTTTAATTTTAATATAATTCTAAAATTAATAAAATAAAGTAAGGAAACGCCTATTTCCACCATAAAATTTACAATTTCCACCATTTTGACGTAATTTATCATGACAATATGTTCGTCATGTTTATGTAGCTGAAAGTCATTTGAAAAGCATGGTGGAAATTGAAAATTTCCATGGTAGAAATAGCCATTTTCTAAAATAAAAAAATTTATCCAGTTCGTTATTTTAATTAAAAAAAAATAATTTGCCCCTTTCTTCCCCCGCATTTTTATATAGACGCCAATTTTCAGCTGTCGTGTAACATATTCGACCAATAATAATGCAGGAAACTTAATAAGTACAATTTTAAATTTTATTAATAAATTTAAATTTTTGTTAATAAATTTAAATTTGTTTTTTTACATATATAAGTGCCAAAATTTTAAACTCTATTATATATAAATAATAACTTTCTTGATACAAAAAATATTAAAAGCTATTAAATATACAAAAAAAATTTTTTAAAATTTTTATAATTAATGAAAAATCTACTATATATAGGAGATGCATATAGTACGTACCGATATTAGTCTGGAGCTCAATAATGTTTTTAGCCCCTGAAAGTTTTGTTATGTATGTCGTAGATCATATCTGCGACATATTTGAAATTACTATTAAAAATTCCAAAATTTTTGACTTTTTGATCTACCGCTACTGGTTCGTTTTGGATGATTTTTTTTACTACCAAAAATGACCGCGCCTAAAATCATTAGAATCCAATCACAAGATCCCGTGATAGTTAAGGGTTTGTGTCACTTCGGGTGTTTCAGGATTGGTTAAACCAATCCTTAAACACCTGAAGTGATACAAAACTCTAATTCATTTTTTATAAAAAAACTTGCAGAGACGTGATTCGGTCATTGGATCAAAAGCTATTCACTGTCAAAAATTTTGGAATTTCCGGAAAATACC